AATATTGATATTAATAATAATAATAATAATAATAATAATAGGAATAATAGTAGTTATAGTTATGGTAATAGTAATTGTAATAGTAATAATAATAGCAATAATATTAACGATAACAATGATAATAATGTCTTTGATGAAGAATGAAAAGTTATTTAAGATGTCAGTTTAAGGGAAAGTGATAGGTTTTTTCGGCACAGTTGCCTATCGCAAATTAATATCACTGAAACAATAAACGAACAACTGATTCTTTGTTGACGGAACGACTTTCTTTTCAGATCACTTCAATTCACAATTACTTCTGTTTTCAATTATGCAGTTCCGTTGCTGTCAAATTTTTTTCTAAGTCAAGGCAAACATTTTGGTTGGTACTATACAATAAAGTAGTGAAACAAAAAAAGAATGCTTGAAAAGGAAAGTTAAAGCTATTCTGCACAACAACTATTGAAAACAACAAAAAGTTAGGTAATTTAGTCTTTTTTAAAATTAATTTTTTTTATTTTCTCATTATTATGAAGATAATAGCAGCAAATCAATATCTTTATTAATAGTCCAAAATAAAGCCAATAAAGAAGAACAAGTCTTTTGCATATTTTCGCAGTAAATTATAGAAACACTTAAACATGTAGAATTGTCTGTCAGATGCAATAAATAATCACTCCAAAAATTTGCTTTTTTAATAAAACACCAAAAAAAGCAGATGACGATGTACATTACGATGTGACATTTAAACGATATTTGCCTGTTGCCTAAATAGGCACTTTTTAAGAATTTTAGAAGCTCTTACGCCAACAGTTTCAGTGATGGTCTTGCTCAGAAAGGCTCGTAATAATTAGTTCATCTGGTTCAGGATCGCTTGAAAGAAGGATCAAAAGTTTTGAAACTGTTTTAGAGCAATTCTGGAGAAAAAAGTTCTTTATTTTCCCGCAGTGTTGCTACAAAAGACATCTTAAAGCCCATTCACGGTGATATTATTCAGCACCTTGAGTAAAAGATAGAAGTATGCTAAAGCTAACAACATTTGGTGCTTTGGTAACTTAAAATAGACATTTAGACTTCTTCTCGACAGATTCAACTATAAAAAGTGTGATACTATCCAACTGTTTAAGTAGTTTTAATGTTGAAAAAAGAAACTGATTCAGAAACAAAGTCACTGCCAATGGCATCATTCAGTTAATGAACAATAAAAATTATTTATTAAAAATGTTTTTATAACATAGTTCAGCAAACAAATACAGTAGAAGATCTGTATGACAAACTTTAAAAAAAAAAAGTAATATTTTTCCAGTGAAATAGTCAAGTTAAAATGAAAGCCTCCTCGTATAAAGACAACAAAAAGAAACTAAAATTTCCAGTTGTTAATTCAGACATTTAGTTCAACTTTATCTTAACAATTTAAGATAAAGTTGAATTAATTCATTAAAATCACTGATGATAATAATGAACAGCAAAACGTGAATGGTAATGGCTGAATGATGTAACAAAATTTTCATCAAGACGATCTAAATTTTCTTAGAATAGCTTTTTTCATTTTCTCTTTTTTTTTCATCTTTTTTTTTTTTATTTTTTTATTTTTTTTTTTTTTTGCTGGAAAGCTCGTACGAATGTAGAAGATATCTTTCTGTGTCATAGGAACGGGCGGATAAGGCATAAAGATCCGGCGGACATCAGTCGCCGACCTCGTTTCAGAAATGTCTATGAAAACAATGAAACGGGCGCTGCTTGCCACATAAGACGGCCGGCGTACTATATCGGTGAAAACTGCTCTTTTTTTTCCTGCTGCTGTAGTTGCCAATCAACAAAGACGAAGAATATTTTTTTTTTTTTTTGTTTTTGCTGTTTTATTCTGTTTTTTTCCCTTTTTTTTGGGTGAAAGAAGAAAAACCACACTCAAATGAACAGAAGTTTTTCCACCTTTCAGCGACAGTGGATTATTAGAATGATTGAAATTCCATCTTCAGTTTATTGCATATTGTCGACCGCGAGCACAGCATCAATTATCATTGATCGTAACGATTGATCCCATCAAAAATTTACTTGGTTCTTTATTATGAGGAAATTTCCTTTTTTTTTTTTGTTTTGTTTCTGGAAAAATAACGAGTGTTGGTTCTTACAGTTTTCGCTTATAAAGTGCCAAATAAAAATTTTGTGACAGATAAGTTCCCAATGTTTGTTGTTCTATTATCCATCCGAAATATCAAATAAACATTAATTTTTGAAACATCCGTTTATGATCCGCTGCATAATCAATCTAATTAACGCATCAGTTTGTTCAAACAAATTGTATATATATCGTTATTATAATGGCACATTTTTATTTTAAACCATTTAGCTTTCTTATGTTTTTCCTCAATCCCTCCATTAATTATCAGGTAAATATCAAAAAAAGAACCAAAGAAACAGACGTTTTTGAATCTTTAAAATACAATTAGAAAAGTTATGTTTAGTAAAAGAATGAATAGGATAAAGATGATACCATGATGATAGGGTGAAAAGCTAGAAGAAGTAAGTAAAGAAACACATGAAACAGGCAAGCGATGGTACCAATTAACGACCCTAACTGACCTACTGGGTGAAATTTTCTTCGTTAGCTTTAAAGTGTCTTATATTATCATCGAGGTCTTATTCTTATTCTTTTTTGTTTTGTAAGCAGTGCTCTTTTCTATACAGACGGCTTTTTTTTACTGTTTTGGTAACCCCTAAGAACTGTTTTATTACACGTTTAGTTTTGAGTTTTTTTAAAAGTAATCAGATATCCAGAATTATCAAAAAGAAACTAAAGTTGAGTTTTGACAAGCGCTACTTTGATTTAAAAGTTATACAAGGTATCCAAGACCAAATCTCGAAACGTAAAAATTTGGATTACCGGATGCCTCTGACCTGTGGCCTGCATTTTTTCATTTATAAGCTAAAAGAAAATAAACAAGAAGACTCCTTAAAAAAACTGTCTTCTATTCGTGTGAACCGTTAAATTTCTGGCAACTCCTATTTATCTTTGTGTCAAATAGAGTCATCAAAAATTGTTGTTTTTCAAACAACATCACTTGAGAAGTTTTATCACCAATTTTGATTTGACGAAATCCTACTCCGTGAGAAAGTTTAAAGGTACGTTATAACACTGGCTCAATTTTGGTTTACCTGAAATTCAAGTATCAGTGAGAGACTAAAATTTTGAACCTAGGCTATTAATGTGCGGAACTAGATGCAGAAAACTTCTTTTACAGTGAATGTAAACAAATAGAACCTGTTTATTTAATGAGCTAAATTTCCAGATTTTTGAACGGTAAACAGACTAATTTTGGAAAAACTCTTCAAGTTTATACATGAAGGCATTTTAGCATTTTTTACAATGCAGTCTTTTAAAATTACCAACAAAAAATAGCTTTAGCAGCTGTATGGAACTGCAGGTGCATCTTCTAGAACTGCCTGTATTTTGAAATCTATAACTTGTAACTAGATATACTCACTAAGTCTACAGTGCAAATAAGCTGTAGCAGAAGAGCCAGCTTAGAAGTAAATTTGACGAAGAAACCATAAACTGGAAAGTCATAACGTATCGCATTGCTACGTTGCAGCAAAAGCGATCGTAACCTCAAATACGTCACAGTAAGAAACAGTAAATATATCAAAAATTTGCATTATCTGTTTAGTTGAAATTGAAAATTGTAACTTTCAAAACTTATTTTAACCACGCTACTCCAAATCAGTGAGCAAAAATTTATTAAAAATACATTTTTCTGTACAACATTACAGTTAGACTGATATTATAATAACAGATCGCTTATTGATCACAATCATCAAATTAATAGGTGTAACGAAGAGAGCAACTGAAAGTGTTGTTTTAACACAATATTGTTACAAACAAATCTGACAATAACTTTGATACCAAATACACTGTAATGAAAGTGTACAATGACAAGCATAAAGTTTGCTTAATGGCAGACTTTTTAAGCTCAAAGGTAGAAATTGTATTTGAGGAAGAACACACTTCTGGTGATAAACCTCCTTTGAGCAAAACAAGAATTAGACTTGAACTGTGCATACAAATCTTTAACGACATCTAATCAGAAAATAAACTGTTTATTCATAGTTTCGGTAACCAAATATTCACTAAAATCGATAAGATAATCAACCGCAACAACGGATTGAAATTTCCACACCTTGACGACGCGAAGCCTGAAACAAGATACTCAGTGTCTTAATAACTGCTTGGGCGGAAAGATCAAATTGTAGTAGAAAGATTATGCTTGGAACAAAATTACTATTAGGCTACCAACTCTGATCAAACTGAAGCAGGCAAGAGGAAACAGGTGCATCAGCAGCAAAACACGCATATGTTCCTTGATCTTCAAGAGATGGCTTTAGTATCTGGAGCGTCTGAACGATCGCCCTGTTATCTCTTTTCACTTTTAAAATGTACTCTGAAATTAAAAACTTTTTAACACTCTTTTTTAGTGAATGCGAAAGATGCAAGCACCACTGCAGATCCTTTTGCTGTATTTTCCAGTCGGTATAAGTTTCTGGTCTAGAGCTGTTTACTATGCTTTAACCGTTTAAGCTACCAACATCAAATTCCTTGTTTTAAGGTTATTAAATAAAAAGAATAAGAAAAGTTCTAGTAAAAGCCCAAAGATAAAAGTTAAGAAAAGCAAAAAAATCTGCAACTTTTAGCTCCACTTCATTTACCTACAACTTGATCAATTTTAGCTTTTATTTTCGTTCAGAAAGAAAAAAAATGTAAAAGATTAAAAATAGTTTTTATAGAGATTATCTGAGCAAATTTTAAATTTTATGCGTTTATCTACTACCCAATTTAAAAATGATAAAAAATAGGTATTTTTTTAAAATTTTCTTCAGTTCTCTAGAGACCAAATAGTCTTTATGTTATCTTCAAAGTGTTATGAAGTTTTTCTTAAAAAGGCTTTAAATAACTGTAACCAGAATTCATGATTGATAACTAACTGCTTGTATTCCTGTAGTCAATCAAGTTGCCATCGCGAGTCCATATTACATCATCATCTAACGGTAATGACCCATTTGTAACTGATATTGTACAGTTTAGCAACACCGCCTTATTCTGACTGATTATTAGTTCTGTTTTACTTTCTTAAAATTAAAAACATTTAATAACACAGAAAAAATTTTTGGCATTACGTGACTATTTCTGATTCTGAAGTCTTAAAGTTTATGAAATGATACTCAAAAGAAACATTTTTGCCGCTTGAATAATGAATGACCTCTTATATATATATATATA